CCCTAAATAATATTTCCTCCACTTTGGCCTTCTGCAGAACATCCATTACTATTTGTATTTCAGTATCACCTAGAGACCCCAGAGAACATCAGGGCCGCATTGTGCTAGGCATATATATACACGTGGTAAGAGACAGGCTCTGCTCTGAAGACCTTACGGTCTACATAGATAAGACAAGCAGAAGATAGGGAATTGAGGTGCAGCTTCCTTCTTCCCAAGTTCTAACCTATGTTTCCCATCTTTTCTAGGGTCTCTCTGTAGGCTGTATGTCCTTTGAACATCAGTTCACTCATCAGGATTTCTTTGGCAGCTTTCCATAACACATCATCACTACAGCACTGTGTTCCTTGTTTGCCATGTTCTCTGACATATCATTTCTCAAGTTTTTAAGGCAGTTCTCCTTTTGTAACATAGTGTTATGTGGGGCCTAATGCTACTGGACCCATGGGAAGATATACTTCAGCAAAACCAGTACCAGATCAGATACCAAACTACTGGTAATACTTGATTGGATACTCTCTCTCTTCATAGATTGTTTCTCTCTGTTGAGCTATGGTCTATTCTAGACTATAAAACCAGGTGCTTCTGAAACTCGTTTTCCATGGGTATGTAGCTTTCCCTAGACAATTTCTCTGAAAATTGTGGATTCTAGGGGTCTGTTACCCCCTTTTATTTTTTTTCAGGGCTAGGAACCCAGTTAATGTTTCCTGCTACGTAGATGGTTCCCTTAATACATTTAGTCAGAGGCCTTGTCATCGTGCTTAGGTATGAGAAGGTTGTGTCATTCAGAGCCTGATCTAAAGCCACGGAAGTCAATAGGCATCTTTCCATTGACTTTAATGGGCTGTGGATCAGAATTCTGATTTATTATAGTAACCCTCTTGTCATAAAAACATACCCTGCAGTAAGATGTCTCCCAGCTGTTCCCCTTACAGTCGTCTCAACTCACAAGGAGAGTCCTCTTTTAATTAACCCCTCTTCTTTTCCTCCTTGTTATAAGTGGTTGCATAAACTTCCCTTTCCCATAATTGTTGTCTTTTATAAGGGAAGATGTGTTCCTCACAGGGCTGTAATGTCCAGGTCTATTTTTTCAGGTGATTAAGTACTTTCTTCCACTTGATTGGATTATTCTGTCTGTGTACATTCCTTGAAAATACCTTAACATTCTTGAATCCGATATTTCTGAATCTATTAACCAAAATAGGTCCACGCTATCATATTTTTCTTCCAGTTTGCCTGCAGGCATGTACGCAACCTGGCAACAATAGCAATCATGACAACAGAACAATGTAATCAAAACCACCAACTATTCTTGGAAGGATGCTCTTCTGATTAAGGCACTGGTCTGGGACTCCGGAGAGTTTAGTTCCATTCCTGCCACAGACTCCCCATGTGACCTTGGGCAAGGCACTGGATCTCTTTGTGTCAGTTCTTCATCTGTAAAATGGGAAATAATGTGTCTTTTGTCTGTCACATCTATTGAGATTGTAAGCTCTTCAGGAAAGGGACTGTTACTCTGTATCTAAAATACTTAAAACTTAAAATACTTACACTGTATATCTAAAATACTTAAAACAATGGGGCCTCAATTTTGGTTGGGGCTTCTAGACTCTACTGTAATCAACATCATCATCATTATGGAAGATGGTATAACACAGAGCCTTCATTACTGAAACACCCTCTTTAACCATTTATAACATAATGAGCAGAGCTGAACGAAAAGTGGGAAGCATGTTTCAAATGAAAAAAATAAAAATAAAAATAAAAAATGATTTTTAAAATTTTTCAGTTTTTGAAACCACACAAATACACACACAGAAATAAATAAATCAGCTTTTTCTTCCTATCTCTCCCCTTTTTTCTTTTTCTCCTTTTTTTATTTTGTCACTGAAAGGGAGGGGGGAAAGGGAAAGAACAGGGAAGTGGGGGGAAATTAAAAATTTCCATTGGAAAACTAAAAAAAAAAAAATCAGTTACATTTTGTTTTAAAAAAGACCATTTTTCATCAGAAAAAAAGTTCAAATGAAAATTTTCAACCAGTTCTAATAACTGCTTTTTTCAGTGGATTCTGAATTGCCAACACACCACAATACATATAAGGAAGCAAGAATATTTACTAACAATATATTTCACAGAACCAGTAACCCAATTGGCATCTATCTTGTAACACGTTCTTTGGTTTTATATTCCATAAAACCCGCGGATAAATATTCCCTTCCACATATAAAATTTCCCTTCCTGTCTGACTGCTCATGCATAACCTGGAGAATCTCAAAAATAATCAAATTTGAAATTGCAAAAGAGAAATAAACCTAGAGACAGCACATTTTTTATTTGCTTTTCACATTTTTCACCCTCTTTTCATCTTGGATTTTCATTTGCGGATTTAGAGTGCAGTTTCCTATCCAGGGAGCTATTTAGATTGACAGACTGTGGGCTTCACTGCCCAGTAACCTTTTCCAAGGAGTCAAGGAATTATTTAGCTTCTTACAGATGTGCCGAGACATTTGGGTTTGTTGTAAAGAATATGCAGCTTTGCAATGTACCACACTGCAGAGTGTGTATCCAGCTCCATAAGATTTTCTATATTTTTAAACCAGAGTGAATTGTGTTATCTTTTTCTCTGTTTCTACCCTCACATCAGAAAGAACATCAGGGTATCTTCTTTATATGAAAGAGACATCATTTCACGTGGCAGGGATAGGAGTTTTTCTTTGTCCTTGTGAGAGCCTACTCCCCCTTCTGGAAGCCCCACTAATCTGAAATGAGGTCTCCTAAAGTGAACCTCCAGATCCTCTACTTTATCTGTTAATCTTTGTCCTCAGAATCCATTTTAACGACCACGGTGTTAGTGAGAATCTCCCCTCAGTCCTCTAATTCTGTTTGCAGCTTCAATCCTTCTGTTTCTGATAGAATCTGTACATTGCCCAATGTCTACCCAGCTCTCAGAAACTGCCATGAGCTCAAGTGAATGTGTGTGTGTGTAAGGCTGGGGGGAGGCGGGCGCAATTTCTGAGAGCTCGCTAGACATTGGCTGAGATCCTGATCAAGCACTGCCTGGAGATCTGGACAGACAAAATCTAGTGAAACCAGCCTAGTGGCTTTGCACAGGCAGCTGCGAAAGAGGAGAGTCTGAGTAAGGAGATCCTGGAGCCTGCTCCACTGGGGTGGTCTGGGGAGAGGCGTGATAATATCCATTAGGTCCATGAGCGATGCTGCACCCCTAGCCAGGAACCTTGCTGGCGTGGTTGCAGCAGGCTGCGGTCCCTGCTACAGCCTTGTAGCCATAGATAACTAGGCAGATGCCCAGCACCCTGTGTCAGGATTAAGAGGAAAGATTCCATTACCCACTCCAGCCCCTACAAATACCCCATTTTCACTGATTCTGTGCAGGGCATGGGAAACTGACCATTTGTATCAAATGCTGCCTTCAGATAACGATGTGCAAGGCCCCAGGCGGGGCTCACAGTAAGCAGTAAGCCAAGATGACGAACCTGGGAGAGACTTAGGGGAAGTCTACACTCCAAAATTAAGTCGACCTAAGTTACGTTGACGTACAGCCACTACAGTGATTAAATCGTTTTCGCATGTCCACACTGCGCTCCTTGTGCTGGCGGTGCATGTCCTTACCAGGAGTGCTTGTACCGACTGTACTGTCATTCTGGGGCATTGTGGGATGGCGTCTGAAAGGCAGCAACAGTCGATATAAGCCATGCAGTAACTACACTGACCTAACTACAGCGACGTAAGTGCTACGCCTCTTGTAGAGGTGGAGTTGTTAAGTCGGTGTAGTGGGCAAGTTATATCGATTGGAGCCACATTTTTGTGTAGACACTTGTAGTTAGGTCAACATTATGTTGACCTAACTCAGTTATTGAGTCCAATACAGATCTCCCTATGTGATTCTTAACTACTGCACAGGTATTACAGTGCTGGTCAGCCTGGAAATACCTGCAACAAGTATTTGAGGACAGGATCTGGAGTAATGTTTTCAAAAATGACTAAGTAACTTTGGCTCAGTCCCATCTTTTAAAGTGACTTAGGAGTCTAAGGCTAGGTCCACACTACCCGCCTGATTCGGTGGGTAGAGATCGATCTTCTGGGATCGATTTATCGCGTCTCATCTGGACGCGATAAATCGATCCCAGAAGCGCTCCCCCGTTGACTGCGGAACTCCTGCTCTCCGAGAGGAGGAAGCGCTGTCACTGAGGGAGCTTGCCTGCACCGCGTGGACCCGCAGTAAGTAAACTTAGTTCGATCTAGGAAACGTCGACTTCAGCTACGCTATTCTCGTAGCTGAAGTTGCGTTTCCTAGATCGATCCCCTGCCCCAGTGTGGACCAAGCCTTAGTCCATTGACTTTCAATGGGTGTGGGCTCCTAAATACCAAATCACTTTTTAAAATAGGATTTACGCTCCTAAGTTACTTAGACACTTTCGAAAATGTTACCATTTGGCTTTTAGTCTGCTTAATATTGTTTTCACAAAGGTGCTCCAAGTTACATAGCAGGATTAATGTAGTTAAAATATCTTGGTGTGCTGTTTTGGCAGCAGAAAGTGGCCTCCTAGATCATTTTATTCATAAATAACTTAAGGAGACAATATAGTGAATGATTATTAAATAGTGCTTAACAGGCTGATAGGGTCCAGATAATGGCCACAATTATGTTCCTTTCTTAAGCAAAATGTGCACATGCTTATGAATACAAACCTAAAATATAATGTAGCCAAGGACTTATTTCACATTGCTCTCATTGTGGTGTTCACTGGTAACTTGCTATATAAGCTGCTTGCAAGAGTTCTGCTTTATTCTATGTCAGTTCCAACGGAGTGGGTTTCAGAGCGCCGCGCCCAGTCTCTGTCTGGGAAGCTCAGTCCTCAAAGGCACAGACCAAAACCACACCCATTTTAGGAACATTGTTGAAGGCTCTGAGGGTGTTGTGTTCAGTTTGTCTGGCGGTTAAATATGTTGCAATCAGGAGACAATTTTTCCCCCTTCAGGTTTTTGGGGACTGGTGAACAATGCTGGAATATCGACATTCGGCGAGACAGGGTGGCTGCCTATGGAGAAATATGAAAAATTTGTGGATGTGAATCTCCTTGGGTGTATAAGGACAACGTTGGCATTTCTTCCCCTTCTAAGGAAATACAAGGGTAATCCTAATCCAATGTCATCTACAGCTGTAGAATAATTAGTTTACTATAGTTAGCTGAAACAAAACCAGTATGTTGTCCAATTTCCTGAAGGTTACCTGAGAGGACAACTTGATCCTGACAAGAGGACAAGGATGTATAAGGTGAAAAAAGTAGTTAGTTTTAGTTTATGAGGAATTAATGACATCAATATCTGTGATTGAAAACAGAGGGAAATGCTTAAAGCTAGTTGTTAGCAGCCTTCCTTCGAGTGTAAGAGACTGTCCGCATTGGCACTGGGACACACGCAGCATGGGCAAGGGCTTGTTCCGGTATTTAGATTGTACTATTTTACTGTTCATTGCTTCTGGGAGGAAACATGATCTTGTGAAGGACTCAGGAGATCTGAATTCAATTTTGGCTCTGCCACAGGTTCTCTGAGTTTTAGGGCTGGTCCCTTAATCTTTCTGTGTCTCTGTTGTCCCCATTGAACAGATTGGGGATAATAATATTTCCTTTCTTCCACCTTTTGTCTGTCTTGCCTTAAGCTCTTCGAGGCAGGGATTGTCTCCTACTATGTGTGTGTACAGGGCCTCTCACAATGAGGTCTCGATTGAGGTCTGGAGGTGCTACTGTAACACAAATATTAGAAAGGACCCTGTGATCCAGAAATGGATGCTTTTATCCTACCATTTATCCCTTAGTCACAAATATGCAGCTCTTCAGCCTCCTAGTAACACTGCTTATGATTTTTCAATATATGGGAAAAAATGTAATGAACCCTTAACACACTGTAAAACGAATGGCCAGGTTATGTGAATATCACAAGAACACAGCACTGCGTGTGCCTCTTTAGAAGCTATGGAAGTGCTATACTGCTAACATGTGGGACACGGTCACTCTCCTATGATATGTCGCTGCTGACACTCTGTCACCCAGATCCTGCAAAGACTTTTATGCATGTGCTTAACTTTAGGCACGGTATGGCAATCCATTGACGTTATTCCTGAAACACTGCCACGATTGTAACAACTTATATTTTGTCTGACCCCAGCGCCCTCTTATTCTGGCCAATGGAGATAGGTCCTGTGCAGAGGAAGTGCAGAGTGATCCCAGAGTGGCCAGGCTGCCCTGAAGTTCCTGGGCCATTGTGTCTTCCTGGCACAGTACATAGTACAATAGCACCTAGATGCCACAACCAAGATCAGAGCCCCATTGTTTTGGGTGCTGTACATACATACACATACTCTGGGCTGGTCTACACTACGGGGGGAGATCAATCTAAGTTACGCAACTTCAGCTACATGAATAACGTAGCTGAAGTCGACGTACTTAGATCTACTTACCGTGGTGTCTTCACTGCGGTGTGTCGACGGGAGATGCTCTCTCATCGATTCCCCTTGCATTTCTCATGGAGGTGGAGTACCGAAGTCGACGCTAGAGCGATCGGCGGTCGATTTATCGTGTCTATACTAGACACGATAAATCGACCCCCGCTGGATTGATCGCTGCCCGTGCAGACATGCCCTAAGATGCAATCCCTGAGCTGAACAGTTCACATTCTAAATAGGCAAGGCAGGGAAAAGGAAGTACTGTGATCCCCATGTTACAAGGGAGCTCTGAAGCACAGAGACATTAAGTGGCTTGCCAAGGTCACCCAGTGACTCTGACACAGGAGTTGAACCCAGATCTCTTGAGTCCTTAACCACAAGACCATCCTACTTCTCAATACCTGAGGTATCATCATACATGTAAACATTTCTAGTTCTATGGTATAATTATTTGTGGAACTATAGGAGTAAATTGTTGAGATGGGCCAGAGCACAATTTCTTGTTCTGGACACCTTTGAACTTCAGTAGACATTTGACAAAAAACATTTGCCAAAAATCATAAAATGATTATAACAATGGCACAAGCCATGGAAATCACCGCCAAATGGAATGAGAAGACACACATTAGTGGAAATCAAACTAACTTTCCAGGGCTAACCTTCTTTGAAGTCAATGGAGTTGCACTGGTATAAAACTGGTGTCAGGGCCGGCTCCAGGGTTTTTGCCGCCCCAAGCGGCACAAAAAAAAAAAAAAAAAAAGCCGCGATCTGAGGCGGCAATTCGGCGGGAGGTCCTTCGCTCCGAGTGGGAGTGAGGGACCGTCCGCTGAATTGACGCCAAATAGCTGGACGTGCTGCCACTCTCCGGAGTGGCCGCCCCAAGCACCTGCTTGGCAAGCTGGTGCCTGGAGCCAGCCCTGACTGGTGTTACAGTGAAATCAGATCCATCATGATGAATAATTAGACACTGTCTCTCTCCCCTACTACAATCCTCCTTTTAGATGCACAATCCCTTCATTTTTATTTCTTTTATTTACCCACTGATTTTAGGGGTTGCTTTGCTGCAATCTCTTTCCTCCACTCTGTGGAGTGGTTATACAATTCCTGGTCTTCCACAGTTTCCAGAGAGGACCAGGATATATTTCACCAAGGAGCTTAATAAATGTAGGAATTTCATGGGTCAGGGAATTCTCTAGTTGCTGGCTAAAGCATGGCTCTTTGCGTTTATGTCCTCACGCTACTCTCTTTATATCTGAACTTACTGGCTCAGAACTGTTAGGATGCAAGTTGTGACTATATTACACTTAGTCTGGTTCAGCACCTGCAAATAACCAAAAAATGAGACTTTTGGAGGAAGCTTGGTTTTCAGGGCCGCCCAGAGGGGGAGGCAAGTGGGGCAATTTGGCCCAGGCCCCGGGCCCCACATGGGCCCCCACGAAAATATAGTATTCTATAGTATTACAACATTTTTCTGTAAGGGGCCCCCGAAATTGCTTTGCCCCAGGCCCCCTGAATCCTCTGGGCGGTCCTGTTGGTTTTTTGAGCTACAGAGCTGAACATACTATATAGTAAGGTTATGCTGGGAATGCACATCTTAGCCTAGCTGCATAGTAAGGCAGTTATGAGGGAAAGATTATGAGGGAAAACAAGGGATTTAAATATGAAGTTATTTGAACATTTGAACAATGTTTTTTCCCCCTCCAGGACGTATGGTCTTTATGTCTAGTGTTACTGCATACTTCACTTTGGGGAATGGCATTTACTCTATGACCAAGGCAGCCATAGAAAAATTTTGTGATGCCTTAAGACTGGAAATGAAGAAGTTTGGAGTGCTGGTAAGATACTTATTCAGCTTTTTTCCCTCACAAAAGCTGTTTATATATTTCAGGAGTAACCATTAATTTTGCAGGAAGAAAGATGTATTCTATATTTATATAGCACCTTTCCTCCTGAAACTCTACACACATCACTGACCTGCCATTATTTCTGGGGGGGAGGGGAGCAAGCAGCTGACGCAGAGGGATATTGCATATTGATGAGGGGAAAGGGACATTTTGGCCAAGGAGACTCTTACTCTAGTGAAAAGTCATTTTTAAAAGCCCCTCCCAGTAAACGGCATGTAAATGAGTATATTAACACTGGAAAGATGAAGAGCCGAGTCAACCCTGGGATTCCAGCCTCTGATTCCAGGATGTCTAAGATGCAGATTCTTCTAGGATTTATGTTGGTTTCTAGGTATGTGATCCCCAGTGTGGCCTAGCAGATAGGGTACTGGCTTGGGAGTTGGGTGCTCTGGCTTCTATCCCCAGCAATGTGGGACTTTGTGCAGAATCATAGAATGTCAGGGTTGGAAGGGACCTCAGGCGGTCATCTAGTCCAACCCCCTGCTCAAAGCAGGACCAATCCCCAGACAGATTTTTGCCCCAGATCGCTAAATGCCCCCCTCAAGGATTGAACTCACAGCCCTGGGTTTAGCAGGCCAATGCTCAAACCCTTGGGAAGACACCTTCCCTGTGTTCCCCCTCCCATCCTTTGTGTGCCTCATCTGTTTACATTGTAAGTTCTCTGGGGCAGGAACTGTCTCTCTCCATGAGTTTTATACAGTGCCTGTCAAGAAGAAGAGGTTGAAACAACACACAGTAACTAAAACTTCCCTTCAGTGGGGCCGCTGCTGGCGGGGATGAGGACTTCAAAAGTGAGTGGTGTGGGATAAGAAGGGAGCGGGACCAGGTTGCCCAGGGAGTACATTGACCTGGTGTGTCTCACTCACAGAGCTCCTCTGGAGTTTCCAGGAGGAGGTAAAGGTTCACTCCTCTGGTAGAAAACCTGAGCGCAGGAGACATCCCTCCCCACTAGATTGCCAGGGGCTGTGCTGATGGTGACAGGTGAAATATACACCCCCTGGACAAGGGCTCCTCTGCTGATGGAACACTAATGACCAAACCTAAAGCTTAGATCACTGAACAGCTCATCTAGCTTTTTTCCTTTGAATCATTCCTCCATTTAAATCCTCATTTAGTGCTCACTAAATGTTCCCCCTGAAGTAATTACTACAGCAAAGACGAACTGTATGCACTGCTCACAGCAGTTTGGTTGTGGAAAAGCTGTTGTTGTGTTTCAACAGCCACCCCCTTTTGGAAAACAGTATAAGATCACTTGCATTATACACTTTGAAATACCTAGGGCACGATGAGGATTTGAACTGCTTAGCTAAGGATAATCTTGAGTGCGTGGAAGTGCTTAGTTTAAGAGGTTAGCTGTTCTATTTGCTTGGACTTTAATGTTCAAAAATATATTTCTCTAATAATTACCTTTACATGCCAGCCGCAGGTTTTTAATGACTGTTTGTGCTCTCCGTAGCTAGGCAGGCCATTCATCCAGTAAATGGTCCTGCTTTTCTAAGGTTTGTCCCCCGTCCGGCACTGAGACAAAACCAGACATGGTTTTGTCTGAGGGACGCCCTTTTGAAGAGTGTGCTATCCTGCCCCTGCCAGCGTGACCTCATACACATCATGAGTGTGAGGTCCAGTTCTCCTTGCCTTGCATTGGGTCTGTGCTGCCACTTACAACAGGCTGTGGCTAAACGCCACAATCTAGCCCTACAGGGTAAGTCTACACTGTAATTTAAAACTCATAGCTGGCCTGAGCTCTACGGCTCATATTATTTCACTGAATTCAGAGCAGCTGATTATAGTCTAATAGTTATTTCCTAATTTTGTTTTCCTTTTAGGTTTGTGTTATTCAGCCAGGAAATTACGCACGTTCAACTAATGTTCAGCCACCAGTCAATGCGGAGCAGATCTGGAATGAACTCAGTGAGGAGGAAAAGGCAGTGTACAATAAAGAATATGTGCAAGAACGTTCAGACTTTTTCAACAACATACTTAAGGAAGGGTGCACCACAGGCCATGAAGTTGTAGATGCCATGGTGGATGCTTTAATGTCTCCTGCGCCCAAGGCACGTTATATGGTTGCGAAGCTAAAGGAAAAACTGTTGGTCTTTATATGCACAGTTTTCCCAACTGTTGTGATGGATTCAATTCTGTCTTATGCACTGAGTAAAGTAAAACTCACCTAGCCCTGTGGAGAGAATATTGACTCCTGTTTCTGGTCTATAATTCAGGTTGGACAACTTTTGTAAGCAAAGGATTTACAGCTTGGTCTAAAGCCCATTGAAGTCAATGGACAGACTCCCATTGACTGGTATGAGCTTTGGATCAGACTCTTATACAGGACTGTAACTTTTGCATACTGAAATACATCTGGAGTTGAATGTAAAATAATTCACTTGCTGTACTCTGGGGCACAGCATTTCTCCACTTGTTGTAAGGATTAACTCCCATACTGCTGTATTCCTTGCCTGTTGAATCTAATGCATTTTATTTTTCGATCGAATCTTTTATATGAAAGTACCACAAAATGCTTCCACGTCAGTTACAAGTAGAGTTTACCCTACAGGAGCATTGATGGATACAATCAGGCAGGGATGAAGAATGCAATAGTTCTGAGAGCCTGAAAAAGTATTTTATTGTTTTGTTAGAGGCAGAGCTAGGAGTGTTAGGCTGGGAGTGAGAAATGGGCCTTGAAATAGGTTTGAATGGAGTCAGAAGGGTGCAGAGAACTAGGAAGCCTTAAAGGAATTCTGAAAGTATAGGTCCTTACCAATGGAAACAATAGCTACCACTGTGAAGTATTTTAAGCTCACAGATATTTTGCTTAAATCTGTAACATCAGAGCAAATATGTCATATGCTTTGTAAAATAAATAAGTAGCACATTCCGCTTACAAATGAATGTTCATTCCTAAGACGATGTATTACCTGCCTCTAATGTCCAGATTAACCAGTGCATTAAGCTAAAGTGCGGTCAGAGAACTAAACACAAAAGATGGCAAGCAGTTAGCACTGCACAATCAGCAGCTAGTAGTTGAGGAAAGTCTGCACATCTAGCTTGTAGCTCAGTTTGATGTTTAAGAGATGCCATTTCTTTCTGTCAATATAGGAATTCATTAAGGGTCTGATGAAAAATCTATTGAAATCAATGGAAAAAGTCTCATTGACTTCAATGGGAGTTGGATCAGAGCCTAAATGCTTTTGGATGTATATGAATTTAGTGCTCATGAAATGTGCTAAATTAACACACGTGAAGCTGCTGCCCCATCAATCTGCCTCCATCCATACTGGAGTCTGCTCCAATCAGTGTTTTCCCCAAGAATTGAAATTAGAGGAGATGTTCGAATTTACAGGGGGGTGAAGGCCGAGGAGCGAGACCATAAGGGTGAAGGTGGGCTGCATGGCACCATAGTAAAAACTGAAAAATGTTTCACGACCATTTTATTAGATTTAACTCGTGTTTTAAAAATCATCACACAAATTACAGTTGGCTACTCAAGCCTTCTATGAAGCACTACATCTACATCCTTCTTGGTTTCTTGCTGTAATTTTGCACAACTCTGTTAATGAACTTCTCAAATGCAGTGCATTCATCTTTGGTGGCTTCTCGTGTGTCCGGTATTTCCAGTCCTTCAATTGATATGGTCATTACTTCATTCACATGATCAGGCAGAATGCGACTTTTCTCAGAATGCAAAATTCTATCAGTGATGAAAAAGAACACTCAACTGTAGCTGTTGTGACTGGGAGTAGCAAGAGATGTATTCCTACTTCTTTCATCCAAGGAAATATAGCACAAAGATCAGGTCGATCCACTAGTGATGATAGAACAAATGAATGAAGATTTGACTTCAACTTCTTTTTTTATGACATTCCACTCTGTGTTCAAATTCTCCATTCTGTCCTGATCACATGGCAGCCCCATTGATGGTAGTGCCTCACTCCATTCACCTGTCAGTGTTTTATAAGACGGGCATCATTAAAACTATGTAGAGGTTGAGTAGAATCCAGAAGTCGCTGTTGTAGATTTGTAAGGATCAAGTTTGTTCAGCTGGCTTAACAAGCACTTCTTGTCCTCTTCACTTAATGATTCAATATAAGTGCCTTCATTAGTCAACCTCTGGTCTGAAGTCTTTGCTTCTTCCAGTACGTTTTCAATGGATATCAATCTGATTAATCCAATTGTAGCTTCTATTGCTGGACAAAGATCTGCCACTGTTGTAGCAGATGCCTGGATGGCATTGTTTAATGACCCAACTGGTTTCAACAGTAGACTTACAAAAGAGAGAATGGCAATTGTCTTCTCTGAATGTCTTAGCAAAAGTAGTCCACCAGCCTCACTACTTAGATCCATCCCCTCCTGGTAGATACTTTCCAAAGCCAGTAATAACGGCTGCAGTAATTTTAAGACAATAGCCAAGAATCGCTCATGAGAAAGCCAGTGGGTTTTCCCAGGTTGGACTAATTTAAACTTCAGTTCCAGAGCATCATCTATTTTTTCCCAAGATGTTCAGACTTTTTGGACTCTTGTTGAAAAAAGAGTATACAGTAATGAAGACATTAAATTTATGGCTTTTTAAATGTCTTTTGAAGATTCTGCAGCTCATACTAGTGCTAGTTGGAGTAGATGCCCTCTACAGTGTGTATAGCAGAGATTAGGGTTACACTTTTCTCTGAGCAAAGCTTGTACTTCATCATGTCTTCCAGAGAAGTTTGCAGCTTCATCAAATGCACAAGCAGCCATCTGTTTGGGGTCCAATTTAAAAGTATATAACTCTTTTAAAATGTGGGTTATCCGCGATTCAGCTGATGTGTCTTCTATAACCTGAACATCTAGAAATGCATCGACTGGCTTTCCACTGACATCAAGATAACGTATGCAATAATTTAATACTTGATTCCCATTTGCATCGGTGCATTCATGAGCCAGTACACAAGTCTTTGATCATACTTTTCAAACCTATTATGCTTTTTCAGGTACAAGTGTTTTACCATATATATGCTTTTAAACTGTGTATTAATGTTTCAATTTCAATTCAAATTTCCAACCAACTAAATGGAATTTTTTCCAACTAGAATTTTTTTTAAAACAACTAGAACAAATTGGAAAATGACTAAATTGGTAATACTGTACGTAACTAGTTGACCAATGGAGGGATGGATGAAAGAGTTCAGGGTTGGTGGTGTTGGGAAATCCCTGGTTCCAGGGGAACTGATTTGTATCAGTTGTGTTGGTGATCTCTGTGACACAGATTCTTCCCCTTTTTGAACTGGACTGAGTTCACCAGCTCCTTCCAGGTCTGTCACTGAGGATCCTAGATGGTCATGAATTTTTTTCACAGCAGACCTGAGACTGGTTTGAACCAGTGTCCATTGGCTAATTTTGTTATTAACAGAGAACTATTAGGGGAGGGACTGCATAGCACAGGGGTATGTTTTTGTAAGAGTTATTAACAAATGAATACAAAGAGAAATAACCATGTAAGAAGAAGAGTATTTAATCTGAGAAAACTGATGCACATTTCAAGCTCTGCTTCAAACATGTTGCTGTAATCCTGCCTTCCTACTGCAGGGATGTTCTCTGAAATAATCATTACACAAGGGAACAGCAGTATTCCTTTAGAAGGAGTTATACTAGTACAAAGTAAGTCACTGAGCACATGAGGTTGGTTGGTAACTTTATGATCTGAATCGGGCAGTGCATAGCCCAGGAGAAAATCACGGAATGCATTGGAACTCACAGTGTTATAATTCCTCTGCTGAGGGCCCCTTGATTTGCAGGGGAACAGCAAGTTACTTCATCCCTTGTAGTGAAGCAGTTTACTCCCCACCCCCGCCCCGTCATGCTTGACTAGCCACATTGGCTACCGAGTAGGGAAGGTCAAACTAGAGCTCTTCTCACCCTGTGGCCTGCTCCACCCCTTCCCTTCCGCCACCCACCTGTAGTGGGATTATCAGGTACGTAGCCCTTGCTCTCCTCATTTAGCCCCACCTGAGAAAGGCCGCGCAGGTGAACAGGGTTGGGGCTTCTGGCAGATTTAGCATCCCTCCTTCTCCACAAAGCCAAGTCACTTTAATCTGGGAATTACAGCCATCTTTCCTGACATTAGAAAATCTGGTGCAGCTATCCATTCTTCACATAGGGTAGGTAAACCGTGTGCCTGTCTCACGTGGGGTTAGCATTTGATACACTCGCCGTGAGGTAGCACTTTACTCCTCAAGGAGATCCTTTTAGATCAACGGGACTGCTTGCGGAGAAAGGGACAGCACGTCAGTAGGGGTTTCACAATCCAGCACATGGTGCACATGGTCATTCTGCTCCTTCTGTTTCAAGGATGATGTTGCTTTTCCACTACATGCTGTTTTACTTTCCGTTTACCGGTTACGTTTCCAAGAGGTTCAGCAATAATTCAGGGTTTGCAGGAAGACAGCAGGCATTTCAGAAGAGCTGCTTTCCCAACCCACTTCTGTCTGACATGCATTATTATCAGCTGAAAATCACTCCATTGCTTGCTGCATAAGCGATGAGATTGATCAATATTTCATTCGCCTTGTTCATAAGAAATGCTAGACGATTGACCCACTTGAGGCCGTTGTTTCTCATCAGTCTGGCAAACTTAAGTAAGAACCTACAACGCATATTAGTAGACAATAGTGATAATGTAACAGCAGGGATCACAGGGGGTTGGACATTAGTGTATACAGTATCAAACGGAGTCTAAGATACACTAGGGTTGCCAACCCTCCAGGATTGTCCTGGAGTCTCCAGGAATTAAAGATTATGATGTGATGAAACCTCCAGGAATACGTCCAACCAAAATTGGCAACCCTAGCTACGTCTCACCATTACTAACCTGCCCTAACTACACTAACATTAATGCAAAAGAACTACAAAAAGAACTCTCTTCTTACTTTTTTTTGTCCTAACCATAGTTGCCTACAAAGAACTAATGAAAGGAGTGAAGTGGATCCATGACTCCTGTATTCAATGGACTTTGGCCTATGCCCTTAGACAGGTGAACAAAGAAGACCTGAGGAATTTATATCCCCTCAATTCCAGAGTTTAAGAAGCCTGGAGCACCTTTCGGAGAGTGGGGATTGGATACACTAAAGTAACCTTAAAGGGTTAAAGTGCGGAGCCTCCCACAGCACTTTAAAATTCGGATCCTCTCTCTTTTGTGCATCCA